AGGAAGACAAAGAGAACACAGTCAAGTAGTACAACCAAAGCATTAAATGATTAAAAGCAGCAAAAGCACAATGACTGACAACGTTTTGAACAATATTTTGGAAACAAACAGTGATAGCCTCATTCCCCCCCCTCCCAACTTTTACGAGGTGCAGAAATATATTGATCCAGTCATCTGACAACCTGAAATGCAGCAGGGAGCGAGAAGATAGGAGCTGGAAACTGACCAGGCAACTCAACAGTAGAAGTAAACAAAAGCAGAGTTTTAATTACTGTAGAAACCCAGAAACTGCTTCCAGATATTCAAGCTCTAAATTTTGCACCCTAGCCAGGAGACAGAGGCAAGGGACTGAATCGTCTCAGCTAGAGTAGACCCTCTGAATCCATGAGACTTACTTGACTCAATGAGTCTACTGAGGCTGGGACTAACAGTGACATTTAGGCCACAGGAAGGAAAACCCATCTAGGAGGACCACTTGATTCCTGGAGGTTATTGTCTGGCATAGATTATGCCAAGCACCCACAGCTGCAGCAACATACCCTGTTCCCCCGAAAATAAGACCTAACCTGAAAATAAGCCCTAGTAAGATTTTTCAGGATGCTCGTAATATAAGCCCTACCCCAAAAATAAGCCCATGTTCAGTGAAACCCCGGCCTCCACCATTGGGTAGCAACCAGAATAAGATGAGATGACTATTTGAATAACATAGATTGTTGTATATGAAAAAAACAAAACCTCCCCTGAAAATAAGCCCTAATATGTTTTTTGGAGGAAAAATTAATATAAGACCCTTTTTCAGGGAAACAGGGTATTCTACCAGTGCAGTGCAAACATTTTACATGTCAGTTGGAGGCCTTCTGCAACTCAGGAGTATTCCGGCGTCCATGAGAACAGCATGGATTGGGAAGGGCATCACAAAATGACAATGCAACAGCCTCTCCTCTTGTTTCAGTGACTCTTGTTTCAGCGGTAGTGTATTACACCAGATATTCTGAAGATACTTTTACGAGGATGGCTCATAATGCTGCAGCAGCAGCCCAGTGAGACAGGCAAAACCAAGGGCCTCTTTTGGTGTTACGAAGAAGAGCCAGAAGTACCGAGGAGAGAGAACGCACGGCTGAGTGATGGGTTGCAGAAATGAACCCGGGCCAGGTGGTGGAGGGCCATGTCAGAGCTCTATTGTAACCACATTCCTTTAACCTTTGCAATCTCGAGAGAGCAAACACACCAGACAAAAAAAAGGAGACGTCCTGGCCTCTCATTCAGGTTTAAAGCAGAGAAGTTGTTGGAACAGGCAAGAAAATGAACACAGTGGAGGAGTTCGTTTGAACAAAATTCATTAGCGCCTTCAGTTCATAACTTCCTCAACTCCAGAGCAATCCCTGTTGCTTCTATTTGGTCCTTCTATACATTTTTGGCATGACACAGGTATTTAACACAAGAATGCATAAGGAGGTGAAAAAGATCAGTCTTTCCTGAGCAAATAATTTCCAGAGTTTGGGGAACTAGAGGACAAAGAAAAGGAAGGCAAAGGTCTCTGGCGCTTACATTATGCTTTTCTCTACAGATAGCAGGCTAGTGGTGTCTTTGGCTCTGGATTCACACCATGGTGTTGGTTCACTCAGTTTCTATGGTTTCAGGCCAAAGGTTTAAAAGGCATTCAACTTGAGGAAGTGGAGCGGCTGCAGCAGTGTCTCCCAGATGGGTTTAAAACAACGGAAGACTTTCCTTCACTTAAACAGTCAAACTTATGAAAGAAAGAAACTCTGTTGTTTTTAAACTAAATACTCAAGCTAAAGAAAAGTAGCAGGGCACTTGGCTGATGATTAAGTGGGTGGGTAGAAAAGGAAAATCTCGTTAAAGAAAAAATGTCATCGGCCCATAATCCCAGAGATGTGTCATTTTTTAAAAGGGTGTGTGTGTGTGTTTAAATTTGGCATGGTAAGTGTATGGATACAGGAAGATGAAATCACCATTCCTCATTGTAATGCTAAAACGGAAGGGGATATTAAGCATGGTCATGATAAAAAGTCTGTTGACTCTGGAAAAGGATACAGTAGAGGTCATACACGGCTTAGAACTCAAATGCTGAATCCCAGGTCAGATTATTTGTAAGCACTTGCTCTAAACCTGAGTAAGGGCCTTGTGGCACAGAGGTTAAACTGTAGTATGGTAGCCAAAACTCTGCTCAAGCTCCCTGTTTGATCCCAGCGGATTCTGGCAGCTGGCTCAAGGTTGACTCAACCTTCCATCGTTCCAAGGTCAGAAAAATGAGTACCCAGCTCATGGGTTGGTGATGAGGTGTAGCCTGTATAATTAAAAAACTGTAAACTGCCCAGAGAGTGCTCGAAGCACTATGGGGTGGCATATAAGCAGCACACTTTGCTTTGCTTTTAAAAAGTAGTTATTTGCTTAAACATTTGAGCAAGGGTGTTGTTCACTGGGGTGTGTGGGTCTATTCTTTCGGCTTGCATTCCATCACTGTGCGTAGGCTGGAAGGAAATGGTTGTGGCATTCCATCAGTAGGAAAGACTTCAGATTTCATTTCCAGCTCCCAATGGATCCCAATTTAAATTGTGATCTCAAAAACTGCCATCTAATATGTTCTAATATAGCTAGCTAGACAGTTCAGTGGTTCAGGTATCTCGCTGCGGAGCCAGAGTGTGGGAATTTGATTCCCCACTGTGCCTCCAAGAAGAAGAGCCAGCTTGTGTTGCCTTGGGTAAACTGCACAGTCCCCAGGGCAACCCTGGAAGCAGGGAATGGCATGCTACTTCTGAGTATTCTCTAACTTAGGAGACCCTGGAAAAGGACTGCTGCAAGTCAGAAATGACTTGATAGCATATGATGATGATGATGATTGCTGTTGTTGTTGTTGTTATGTTCTGATATGTTTAGACCCAAGAAGAATTGACTTGATAGCATATGATGATGATGATGATTGCTGTTGTTGTTGTTGTTATGTTCTGATATGTAAAGACCCAATTAGTACGATCTGATTAAAACAATATTCTTAGAAAGCTCCTCCAGGACAGTAAGTAAATTTAGCTGGAAACTCCCCTGAACATGTCATGAAAATCTCAGTTAAAGATACTGGTATTATAAATGTAAATCAGGCAGAGATAAAATGTCTATAACACAGTGTAAATTTGCAGTAATTTCTTTGCCAGATTAAAAAAATATAAAGTTAGAATAAAAATCTTACATACGTCAACTTCAAATGTAATGGAGGAATTTTATAGGTAAGCAATTAGAAAGGTTTCAGGAATTAAGGAAACCTGGTCATATCTTTCCAAGTTATTAGTCAACACGCACACAGAGAAAGAATGAGAGAGAGAGAGAGAGGCTATTTCCAACTATTTGGGTTTATCTGATAATTTGCCATTCCTAGATAGAATTAAGGAAACCTGGTCATATCTTTTCAAGTTATTAGTCAACACGCACACAGAGAGAGAATGAGAGAGAGAGAGAAAGAGAGACTATTTCCAACTATTTTGGTTTATCTGATAATTTGCCATTCCTAGATATCAGATTACCAGCAAAATGCTGAGCAAGCAGCCTGTTCCAAGTTGGAATGAAAAATGAAGAGAAGTACAGCACATGGCCACACTTACTCTATTGTAAACATCTGAGGGATGGGAAAATAAGTTCAGCTGTTGTATTCAACAGTTCCAGACTTTGCAGAAACTTTAAAACAAAACTGGAGGAAAAGACTACCCCATTCCTTTGATGCACGCCAAGAGATGTCCATGGAAAAGCTGGCCATGTGGACCAGTGGACACGGCAAAAATTGAGGGAGGCTGGTATCAAATGTTGCTCTATGTCCAAATCCCTGTCTTTTGCAGGTCTTGTGCTGGGGAGGAAAAAGACTACCAATTTCCAGCCTCCCCCCTTTTCCACACAAACAAAAACGCTTCTTAAAAAGAGGCAATCTCTCCTCCTTATGCCCCCCCCACCTCATCTCCATGATCAAGGAGCCCTTTTCTACAATCAGTCCACACTCTCCTCAGCTCATTCTGCAACTGCATACATATACTTATGGGAGCAAGCAGCAAGAGACAAGGCCTGACGTTTTCAAAATGCACAGTTGAACACAGAAGAAAGAAAGAAGCAAGGTGGTCAATTTGGTGTGGCAAGTGTATGGACACAGGATCACAATTGGCCACCATTCAAAAGAGGTAAATTTGGTGTGGCAAGTGTATAGACACAGGAAGCAGAGATCACAATTGGCCACCATTCAAAAGAGGTAGCACAGAGTGGGGGAAGAATGAAAGCATCGCTCCTCAGAAAGGGCGAGTTAGGTAGAAGCCCTTCCTCTTTACATTATACTCTTTAAGAAGCAGAATATTTCTGCCACTTCCAGATTAATGATGAATCCTCAGTGTGTTATCAGGATTGACAACTACCAGTTACAGACACTGCTCTGCCTCCAGAAGCTGTGGCCCCATGGATAGGAGGAATCGACTTTCAGCCCCAAGGTAGGGGATACTACCGACTTGGCAATGTCAAGCCACTGTCTGGGTTCTAGACTACAGATAGTACAAACCTTGGTTTTCTGTATTGTGACTACACAGATGACTGAAAGAAAGAACAACTTAGCAAAGTGATGACAGACTATTAAAAATATATAGGCCAGAGAGTCCACAGGCAGGTTGGGATGCTGCAGCCACTGTGCATAGACAACAGCTGATCTAAGGAACAGTGGCAGGTAAAAGCAGAACGCCACGCTGACTCGTGGGTCTATTAAATGGGTATGAACTCAGAGCAGCCATTATACACCAACATGTATGTTAATCCCTTCCCGTGCACTCTTCAGAGCTTTCTAAACAGAATCTCCCCCATCCTCTTTCCTGGTAAAGTGCAGATGGTAGAATTATCTGAGGTCCATTGCCTGTGTTTTTCGAACTAAATAAAGAGAAAGAAAAGGGAGGGGGAAAATACCTGAAACCTCCCTCCCCCCCAAAAAAACGGTATGCATTAAGTCAGAACTTACTCTCTTTTCACTCCCGCACAAATCAATCTAGACTGATGTTTCAGACTGTAAGCGAAAGGCAAACTTGTGTAATTTTGGATCTAAGAACTCCTCCGAGAGTTTGATGAAAGGGATTTTCTTCACATTAATGACCAGGCTGAAGTCCAAGCACTTGAGAACAAAAACAACACCGTCCCTTAATCCTTTTGTAACAGCCTCCTCACTAATGAGCGTCCAATGTTTGGAGAACCAACGATCCCTGTCGTACTGCAGAGTTGGGCCAGGAGTGAGGTAACGTTCCAGGAAAGCCTAGAGAAAAGCGGGCAGAGAAAGAAGAGTGAGGTCTCGTGCTGACTTGGAAACGTCTCAGCTAAAGAGGAAGGCTTGATACGGCCAATTTTAATTGGATGACTACAATATCCCTAGTAATTGGCAGTTTCATCCAGCTATCTCTCTCCAGGCCTCTGTGCGATTGACCATAAATCATTTTGCAAGAATGACAAAAAGCATGCCTCGGGCCCAATGAAAGGAACTGTGCGAGCGCAGAACAAAAGGTCATTTTCTGCACCCCATGCCCAGCACAGTTTGTCCTCTCATTCCTCAATTCGAGCATGTTCTTTGCCCAAAGACCCCATCCTGAAGAGGTGGATCTCTGCTAAGTGGTAGTAGCCAAAAAGCTGGATGTGAAGCAAAGATCTTTATTTTAAACACCTGGAAGAACAAGTTTCACTTTCAGATGTTTACTCGATACCATTTATATTTTATTCAATGGAAACTCTAGGGTGGGGCAGGGAAATTCTGCCAGAATGCTTACACCATGCTTGCTTAGCACTCTCACACAGCTAAAAAGAGCAGGAGCGCTAATGATCTGTTCAGAGGCACGCTCAAGCCCCTAGAGAAAACCATGGCATAGCAGTCAGTTTGCTGGACTGCAACAAACAACTGACAAGGAGAGGAAAGGTGCCGATTCCACTGTGTGAACAAAAACAAGCAACATGTATAACACACACAGAGAGATTAATTGCCTGCCCATACCAGATAACTCTGGGAATGAGGAGGTGTTTCCTCACACCCATTTCCAGTAGTACAAGGCAGGGCAGGGGGTCAGCACATGGGATCAGGAGGTTTGTAAGGAAGACAAATGAAATGCATAGTTAAATTGCACAGCTGCACTTTCAATTTCTATACCTTTATGATTTGTTTGCTCATCATTGCATCCCTGACTTGTAGCAAATGGGAAATGTCTCCAGACAGATTGCTATACTTCTTCTTCCAAAGTGAGAAAGGAACAACCTTTGGGGTTGTGATCTATATTCCACCTTTTGGACTGCGGTCTGCATTCTGGCTGTGAGACATCTCTGGCTCTCAAAAAGAATATGGCCCAGCCATGACTGTCTCCTGGGACAGAACTCCCACAATGTCTGTGTGAAGGAGACCTGAGAGCCAAGCATTTCGTCTTGCCTGGCTCTCTGAAGAGCCACGATGGCTGCTTTCTCCAGCTGACATGGTTCTTCACAGACCCTCCCCTCCCACCAGGTCAGTCTTTAGAGGATCCAGAGGGTTGACAGCTCCTTGTAAGCAGCTGCCTGCCCTCTGGGTTTATTCTAAGGACTACCTCAGTGCAAGACAGGCTGGGTAGCAACTACTCTGGAGGATCCCTCCTCAGCCGCTGTATTTTATTTACTCTCTGATGCATTGCCTTGGCTGAACTGGTGGGTTCTCCAAGATGGGGTGGGGTCAAGATGTGAAATTCTGAATGTACAGAGTGCTAAAATAATTAAGGAGAATAATGTAGAAAATGCAAACCTGAAAAATATACATTGCACTTTAAAAATGAGGCTTGAACAGCAGTTTACTAAAAGTCACCATGAAATAATCAGCCAGCTCTTCAGCTGAGCCTGGAAGCAAGGCCAATAATGTCCAATAACATCACAAAAGAATCTCTTTTATGGCCAATGGTTCAATAGCTGAATAAGTAAACAAATGTTAAGAAATACAAAACAACTGAGGAGAAAAAACTCCTGGAGCTCCAAGTGTGGATAGAGCAAATCAATACCTGACCAAATTAGTCCACTAATACTACACCCATAGTATTTTGCCTACCCAGTAAATTTTCCCAAGCAACTTACCATTCCTGCAAGTGCAGTGAACAAAAACAAGCAACACGTATAACACACACAGAGAGATTAATTGCCTGCCCATACCAGATAACTCTGGGAATGAGGAGGTGTTTCCTCACACCCATTTCCAGTAGTACAAGGCAGGGCAGGGGGTCAGCACATGGGATCAGGAGGTTTGTAAGGAAGACAAATGAAATGCATAGTTAAATTGCACAGCTGCACTTTCAATTTCTATACCTTTATGATTTGTTTGCTCATCATTGCATCCCTGACTTGTAGCAAATGGGAAATGTCTCCAGACAGATTGCTATACTTCTTCTTCCAAAGTGAGAAAGGAACAACCTTTGGGGTTGTGATCTATATTCCACCTTTTGGACTGCGGTCTGGATTCTGGCTGTGAGACATCTCTGGCTCTCAAAAAGAATATGGCCCAGCCATGACTGTCTCCTGGGACAGAACTCCCACAATATCTGTGTGAAGGAGACCTGAGAGCCAAGCATTTCGTCTTGCCCGGCTCTCTGAAGAGCCACAATGGCTGCTTTCTCCAGCTGACGTGGTTCTTCACAGACCCTCCCCTCCCACCAGGTCAGTCTTTAGAGGATCCAGAGGGTTGACAGCTCCTTGTAAGCAGCTGCCTACCCTCTGGGTTTATTCTAAGGACTACCTCAGTGCAAGACAGGCTGGGTAGCAACTACTCTGGAGGATCCCTCCTCAGCCGCTGTATTTTATTTACTCTCTGATGCATTGTCTTGGCTGAAGTGGTAGGTTCTCCAAGATGGAGTGGGGTCAAGATGTGAAATTCTGAATGTACAGAGTGCTAAAATAATTAAGGAGAATAATGTAGAAAATGCAAACCTGAAAAATATACATTGCACTTTAAAAATGAGGCTTGAACAGCAGTTTACTAAAAGTCACCATGAAATAATCAGCCAGCTCTTCAGCTGAGCCTGGAAGCAAGGCCAATAATGTCCAATAACATCACAAAAGAATCTCTTTTATGGCCAATGGTTCAATAGCTGAATAAGTAAACAAATGTTAAGAAATACAAAACAACTGAGGAGAAAAAACTCCTGGAGTTCCAAGTGTGGATAGAGCAAATCAATACCTGACCAAATTAGTCCACTAACACAACACCCATAGTATTTTGCCTACCCAGTAAATTTTCCCAAGCAACTTAACATTCCTGCAAGTGCAGGGATCCAGTTAGTAAAAGCAATGGTTCTGTCACCCTTGTAAAAGCAATAGTGCTTTCCACTGAAAACATTCCAATTGCTTATAGGTATCAGTAACTTACTGCACCAGCAAAATTCAGTTGTTTATTGTTGAAAGAATGTAAACAACTGAGGGAAATATAAACACGGGGGGCAAAGAGAGGAAAGACACCGTGCCACATACAATGGATACCAACAACACTGATACTGGACACAAGGTATCAAAGGGAAGCAACACGTAACAAGCACAGCTTGCAGCAGCACCTTGGAACAGATGAGAACAACATTAATTTTCCTCCATAGATTCAAACTGGCTTGGCTGAATGAGCCCTTAGAATATTTTCCATGTGTGCATAGTAATATATTTAAAGACTAAAATTGCTCAAAACTGTTATGCTTTTTACTTATGCTTTTAGACCTGCATTCTCTGGTTCTTCAATGTGCAATTTTTGGCTCCAATATCTTGCATTTTTAGAATGCATATTCCTGCAATTTTGAAACATGATTATAACATAGTTTCAGTTTTGTCTACAACTCACGATTTGTTTTAAATCTACTTTTGTTTCCAACTTCTCATAGTTGTAAGAACTTTGGATGGCAATCATACCTGTGGGTTTTCACAAGATAAAGTTGATGTTGCCTGGAATTATTGCAACACTGAAAAAACTTATATCTTGATATCAGGATGAATTCTGCTATGATTGGAAAGGGTTGTGTGGTTTCATTCTGGAATTAACTCTTTTTTCCAGGGATTCACAAAAGCCAGATGTGACAGGCAGGCTTCTTATTTTCCCCTAGAAGTTTTTAAAGTTTTGAAGGGCTCTTGGGGAGACGTTCAGGCATCAGTCCTAGAAGTTTTTAAAGTTTTGAAGGTCTCTTGGGGAGACGTTCAGGCATCAGACTCTCTATCCTGACAGTGGTGCATGCAAGCGCAAGCTCATCCAACTTTTTACAGGATGATGCTTTGACTCCATTACCTTGAGAGTGGGGTGGGGGCAAGGGCAGAGAATGTGACTTGATGTGATAGACAATCCCATTTGTTCTGTACCTTTGGTGTCATGTTGTTGGCAATACAGAAGGCCAGATGTTGCAAGATGCTCTCCATGGTATGGTAGTGTTGTTGCCGTGTTGTCCGTAGGTACTTCTGTAGCACCCTGGCCATAGATGGGAAGATGGCTTGAGCTGCCTCTCGGGGGTCCATGACTTCCCCTGGGGCTTTCTGCTGCTCTTCTGCATGTAGACGCTTAATGTGGGTGAAAGCTTCTTCAACAGCTACCACAAGCCTAGACAACAAGAAACCAAGAGGCATCATGCCGAGATATTTAACACACAAAGTTTAGCATAATCGTGTGTGCTTCTTCACTGTCACAACAGTACTTTGTCTTTTTCAGTACAAATAGCCAAGTCCATTCCAAATATCTATGTTGCCTGGTTGAACGTCCCATTAACACCCAGTGCTCCTTATGAGTATGGTGCTACAGCAAGAGACTGATTCAGAGAGATACTGATTTCCCTAGGAGGTTAGCCAAGCTTTCAATGCAGATTTCTCAAATCCTGGCCAAATCCTCTCACCACAGAGCAACACTGGTGGGACACAGTGGTCTTAGCTCACTTTCCAGAGGCGCCAGCATTGCCAGATTCCCAAAGAAGAGGAATCCTGATCTCCCTAGCAAGTTGGCCTTGGCTCCTAGTTTGGCCTGCAAGTCTAAATCTCTCTCAGGTGTCTGAGGTGAAACAGTCTGTGGTGCTGCTGTGTAAGAGAGGACGTGGTTTCCCTCTCTGCCACGTTGTGCAGATACAATGGTGCCTCGCAAGACGAATGCCTTGCGGGACAAAAACCCGCAAGACGATTGGTTTTTGTGATCGCTATGGTGCTTCGCAAGACGGTTTCTTTTATGACCATGCTTTGCATGACTTTTTTTTGAGACCGATGCCTCGCAAGATGAATAAATTTCATTCGTCTTGCGAAGTTCCCATAGGGAACCTCGCAAGACATTTTTTTCGCAAGACAGGGCTTCTTGCGGAACGAATTACATTCGACTTGCGAGGCACCACTGTGTCTCGCTCTCCATGTGTTAAGGAGTTCTGAAAGCAGAAACAAAGGAGGGTGGGGCAGCATGCTCCTCTCCACCTGTGGTAAGCATAGTCAGTTTAGTAATGACTGAACAGGGCTGCGATGAGAATACGAAAGTGTCTGGCTGATGGCAGGTTACAGCAGATCATCATGAGACTTGAGGCATCCTCCTCCAATGGAGAGGGATGTAAGTAGGAAGGGCCCCTTCCCTGCGTATGCTAGACAGGTCTTCTCAAGTAGCTACATTCAGCTCTCCTAATCCACAGATCAGGAGCCTTTGCTAATCAACCTTGATTCTGTACAGCTGAGCAAACAAACGCAGGACATTCCTCGCAAATGCCAAAGAAAGACTGCAAACTATCATCGTTGGGTGCAGCCAAGTAAACTGTGGGGAAGGAACAAGAGAGCAGGTTTGAAAGGAAGGCTGTCGAGCCCCTCGCTGCAGTGACCGGCTTTCCCATTCTTTACAGGGGTTCAGTGTGCATCAGCAACGCTAAATAAGCAACCTCAGAAAATACGTTTTCACATTGCAGTCCAGTTGGAGCCACAGAAATTGATTTCCAAGCTCTCTCAATTTATTTTCAAACCAGCTATGACACACAAGGAGATTGGATCAGGGGAGGGACACCTGATTGCCCAAATTATTTATCGTCAAACCACCCACAGTAGTGCCACCATCCTGATCCTACAAGATTACAGATCTCTGCCTCACCTAGTCTGTGCTTCTCCCAGGTCACTATCAAACCGCATGTTATATTAGGCATTTCTTATTTTGAACAAAATGCAGCTGTTCAGGCTTCCTATACTCAACCCTAGAGCCCTCTCAAAAAGTCTACCCAGCAGCTTTTTCTTACCTTCTAAGTGTTGTTTTAAGCAATGGGAACCTCTGGAGCAAAATAGTAACTAGGGACGAGAAATCTGGATGGGAAATGATTTGAGAGGGAAGTAAAATTCATTTGGTTTTATGCTTTAGCTATACTTCTGCCTTTTCTCTTATATTTTACAGCTGAGCACTGGAGAGGAAGGGCACAAGTTGAATTAAATGAATCCCATTACTAAATTCCTCCCAAAGGAATTAAGTCAGAAATAACTATTTTGCCAGCCTGACAGCATGTAAGTACAGGAATATCAAAGACAACAGAAAGTTCCAGGCACAGAGACAAATACAAATTCTCTCCAGTTCAGCCCTGGATTTCCCATTATTTGGCTGCTGCTCAAAACTGCTCCACCTAGACACATCATCAAGTGTTGTTTACTGCTTGAATTCAGGCTCTTTTGCAATAAAGACTTTTTATTTGAAGTCAGGACAACACAGACACAGAAGCTGGGCATGTTGCTAGGCAGAAGGAATCTGTGGCTTTCTAAAGGGGGGGGGAGCTACATCACAGGTCTGAGAAGGCCTGTCTGCTCCCTGGATATCAACTTGAGCACACTGCGGTGGGCTGGGGCCACAATCTTACAGCTAGTAAGCAGGAATAACTGTTTTACTGTTTTACGATATCCCCGGGGGGGGGGAGAGGGAAGGAGAAAACAAAGAAATGTAATTCCGGTTACTGAAGCCCCTAAATCTGTTTTCTATGTGTGGGAAGGCATAGGCGGATAGCTATCACGGTTATAAGATGCCATGTCTGATCACCCCTCTTTAACGAAAGGAGACTACCTCCCAGAATGAAAGAGGGCACAGAACAAACAGTAGCAATCTACATTTCCAGTGCATGGTTATCTCATGATTCAGGTCGATATGTCTAAAGCCCATCCGGCTACTCCTCTGTCTCCATGTCATTCCTCGACCAAATGTTTACTCGTTACTTGCTACAGCACTGCTGCCTTAATTTCCAACCACAGCAGAGCCACTATGGTGTGTCACTGAAGTAGTATAGTGAAGGTATGGTGTGAGCTCTTAGATCCAGAGCCTCCAGTGTAGACCAGGGCCTCTGCACAAATACATATTCACTCAGAGGCTCCGTGTTCATAAAAGCCCTGACATCCAGTGCTCTTTTATTTCTCCCTATCTCTGTCTGCATGGAAATTCCTATCATCTACAATACTTCTGTACTTTCTGTCGATCTGGCAGTGGTGTTGGTTCCGGTTTTGCTCCTCTACTGGGGATTTCAGGACCACCCTGGTGACATACGTCAACCAGAAGTGTTAACACTCTGGCTGAAAATAACTTAAACCTGCCAGTTGCAATGAAGCTCCTTTCCAAAAGACACACAATTCAGCTCTTGGAGTATCAGGTAGTAGGCAGCTTTACTAGATTGTGGGTTACAAAAGTAGAGTCCACCCAACTGTGCTACGTCTGGGTCTTAATGCCAAAGCTTAGCAGCTTGGTACTGAAATGAAGCACTGAAATCTCAAAATAACACCCTCCTCTACTGAAGGCCTCTTACTCCAGGAGCTCTGATCTCTCCTTTTCTTTCTTTTTGTTTATTTTTTACACATTTTTACAAAAAATGATCTTCCTGTGACAAAAGACAATCATGCCTCTGGACAGCATGAATCTCTAGACTAATCCAGTCTAAATAAGAAATCTGGGCCCAGCACATTCCAGGGCAGTATTTGATGACAAGCATCTACAGATAAGACCCTTATATCAGGGTGCTGTGGCTACTTGACTGTGTTCTGTGGGAGAGACCAGAAGTTTCTTTCTGTAGCTTTCTGTTCTCTGAGGTGCCTGAAAGGTATTCACCACTTCAAGGTCGCACCTTCTCCTGGAGTTTGTACGCACGGCCCATGCTGCCAACAGCTCCTACAAGGGGAAGAGTTGTACTGTTTCCAGACTGGAATGGAAATGGATAATCATCCCTCAACCTCATCATTTCTAATAGAAGGACAGGGGAAAAAAACACAACTTTGTCCCAATTGGTACCTCAATAATTGTAACTTGGAAAATAACCAGAAAACATTTACAGAAAATGTAATTATCAAGGACATAGATATCCCCAAGAAATCCCAGCTGACCCCTTCACCCTAAGGCACATTTGTGTGCTAAGGCAGATGCCCTTTAAGGTAAGATGCTGTTTCTGGAAACAGAGGCGGACTGAATGTTCTGAGAGGGATCAAAGCCCTCCAAATTCGTGCTATGACACAATTTGTGCATTTGTATTTTCTCAAGTCTCACATATTTCAAAAACAGTGTAGACTATGGAGGAGTCTGCCAGGACTGACATGCTAGGGGGCCCTTAGGATCAGAACCAATGAAGACTTGACTATTTTGTAATGTTTAGAAAAGGTATGCAATGAGGCTGAAATGCCTGTCCTACAAATCTCTTCTACTGAAGAATTTCTCCAAAGTGCTGATAATGTGGTTGGTTGCCTTTCTGAGAGAGGGGACTATAATTCCTCCCATGATTGCCCTTCTTGGGTCTCACAGACCTCAGCAATCAACTCACTTGACTGAGGGGAAAGGATGTTTCTGACACTTTAGCCTCCTCATAGAAATAAAGGGGAGCCGTGTGGTCCGAACAAATTAAAATACAAATGCAAGAACAGGCAATGGCTTTACAGACCACTAAAAAATCACCATGCCATATGCCAGCTTTCATGGGTAAAAATACCACTTCATTAAGGCTTGTACCAGTGTAAAGAAATAAAAGTCCAAAAGTTCATGGCAAGATGGATTTTGCCAGGAAAGTTCCTCCTAGATATAAAGTTTGATAGTTCTTGGCAAGATTGTATTTGTAGCATCTCACAATTTGCCATGGAAGGAAAGCAGGGGCACTTCCAATTTCCTAAATTCTCCTCCTAGATGTAAAGTTCGATAGTTATTGGCAAGATTGTATTTGTAGCATCTCGTAATTTGCCATGGAAGGACAGCAGGGGCACTTCCAATTTCCTAAATTCTGGATTGCTACCAAAATAAAAATATGCACTCTTGTACGTACATACTGGATCTGTGCCAAACCTGTTCCTGGGATAGGATCGGCTTGCACCGAGAGGGAAGGTAATGAAATTTCTGGCACCCTGCTACAAGTAGAATTCATCTTTGGAGTACACAAGATCTAATGTCCACCTCCTCTTTGTAGAAAATACATTGCCATGGATTGGAAAACAGGTCTCTGAAACACGTTTCCAGTTCATGTGTAGTAGAGGTGATAGTCACAAAAACTCTGATATGAATCAGAGCACTTATGAGGAAACACATGGTCATAGGTTCAAAAAACCCCCCAAGTCAACTGTTGGTAGCCAATTCAAATTCTATGCAAGAACTGAGAGGCTGGTTGGGGGGGGGGGACACTAGGATCACCTTGGATCCTATGAGCCTCATCTTTCTGAGCATGTGTGGGATAGCTGGCATGGAAGGAATGCATACAATAGTTCTTCTTGCCACTTTGTTACTGTGGCATTTATCTGAATGGAACATCTTGCCAAATGAGCCATGACACTTGTACGCTGTCCCATGATTGCAGGGAGGGGTCCAGAGTTGGTGGTCTAAAGAAGTGAGTTACCCTGCTGGAGGACACATGGTTGTACTATTACCCCTATAGGAAAGCCACCCTCTGTAGACACCCTCAGCTTAGGATCTTAGTATTCTAGATAAATTAAAATTATTATCATTTGTTACTTTAATTTATATACCACCCCATTAGTGCCAAAGCACTATTCTGGGCGGTTTACAGGCAGTTAAAACCAAACCCAACACACTAAATTACAACACAAAGAGCAATAAAAGCATATGGAGGCATCTGCCCTGCATGAATACACAAGCCTCTACAATCAGAGCTTCATTTCTTGTTCCATCAGACCAGAGGTGATGGCAAAGAGAGTTGTACAGCTGTGGGAGGGATGTCTGGCAGGTCAAAGCATTTGCTGTACAACAGACATGCCAAAGCGTATAAGCCATCAGGTCAAACACAGCCCAAGAGCTACATGTCAAGCTCCCACTGGGCCATCCTAAACTACCCATCAAACACACGGCAATCTGCAAGAATCCTTCTGTAGCTGTGGTTTGTCTAGCAGTTCTCCTAGAGAGAAACTGAAACACTCTTGAAGGTCAGATGGGGTGGAGAAGGACTACGCCCACTTTTCTAGAAACTGGCTCCCTGAGCACACCTCATCCTCACTCGGTCTTCTACCTCCAATCTGGCTCTTCACCACTTCCCTCAGGGCCTCAATGGACACATACTGGTGATCTGTTGGAGCTGCTACCTTGCCTTTTTGCCCAAGACCAGGGGAGCGCAGGTGAGAATGTTGCCATTTGCTAGGTTAGCCAGGTGAGCAGCACGTGGTTAAGCCGTCCGCTCCAGTCCCAGCTGCCTCTCTGAATATGCAGCAGTTTTCGCTATATCAGAGGCTTCACCCAGGCCTCTTTCCTCTCCCTTCCCCAATTAAAGGTACACACCACACATCTAGTGAGGTGGGTACTTTGAGGAGCTTGACTGTTGTATCTCTTGTGGGTGGGAGAATCCCCACTCCTCTTTCAGGAAGAACGGTGTCCTCCTGAGGCTGAACTAGAGAGAGAGAGAGAGTTATGGGGAATCCTCACCTTGCGCGGCGTTTTCTAACCCTTCGCTCGTAGTCTGCTTCTTCATAATAGAGCTCATTGTGACTGGAGTCCCTGCGATGGGCTGCAGCAGCAATCATAGCCCTGGACTGCCCCGCAGCATTGTTATCTGGTCCTTCAAGGAGAAATACAGCAGGAAGAGAGATGATTAAGAAAGGAAAGAATGGAGGACAAGAATCCACCAGTGCTAGCCAACTAGCTAAGAAGCTGTGGTACTTCATGCCACAAGTTCCCAAACCCAAAACAAAATGGAGCCCACTGCCAATGTAAACATTCCCTGAGGTGCAGCTATGAAGTAACAGGTCAGTTTTTTTGGACATATTCAGATCAGCAGAGGGGAACTGTTAACTAGGGAAGGAAGGCTAGATGAAGGCCTCCTACAGCCTCAAAGGAGCACCAATAGCAGTCTACAGAAGTATTAAGCACAACATTGAACAACGAAACACAGACAGTGGACACACATCAAGGAAAGTGCTACTTACCATCAGCTAAATACATTTTCAGTTTGGCCACAAGGGCAGCTGGAACACATGGTAATTCAGCAACAAGAAAAAGGGAATGTGAAAGGAGATAGGAAAGACAGGAGGGTGGGGTAGGAAGATTCAAAGGAAAAAAAAAAACAAAGACAGAAAATAAGAACATCAAGTGACATGAGACAACAGACAAAAAAACACCAAGCACTGCCAGACATCGTAACATAAAGTTCTAAAAGCAGAACAAGCGAAGTTTTACACAAAGCAAGGTGGCTCCTAGCAGAAAAGCGGAACACACGAATTGATTTTATCCCAGATCTGGCCATTGTCCAATGGGTTAGTGCTAAGAAAAACTGATACAATGAGATAAAAGCACACATTTTACATGGCTTATTGTATAATACTACCCCGAGTCCTTCTCTGGGTATTGTGTGAACTGTGTCAGCCTGAAAGGGTCTGCTTTGCATGCAGGGTTCCCCTTGCCAGTCAAGGATCCTGCCTTTGTAGAGGAAACTCTACTCACAAAGGCAGAAGCAATGCTGGTCAGGTTGATTTTACTTATGCATCACCTAGGGAAGGCAATGAGCATACTGGAAGTGCTGGGGCAAGAAGAGGGGGGAACCTCCTAAGTTTCCAGTGCCAGGCAAAGCTAAAGGAAACTGTCAGAGCCATGCTGTCAGAGCAGTGACCACTTAATCAAAGGCTCTTGATGTGTGGCTAAGGCAGCTACTGAGATTGCTAAGGAGAGCAGAGAAGCAGAGATGCTTCTACTCCATCCAGCATCTACAATGAATCTGCCTGTGAAAATAAAGGTCCTAGAAACATCAGTCCTGGTGAATGGATCCTAATGGGAAGCACCCTCCAATCAAGGGATGGCAAGGCTGTGGCATGGTTTTCTTGCAGCTGAAATCCAAGGAAGAATAGGGGAAGGGAACAAGGACAAAAGACATTTGACAAACATTCCCACCTATTTTCTTTCCTTTAACCTACCATCAACATTATACACCTTCAGGCCTGCCATGTGCTTCTCTGCTCGTGCTTTAGAAGCTGTTAACAACATGGGGTTGTAGACAGCAAAGTCTCTGTAGTAATTTTCCAAAACAACTACAGCGGCACGCTGGATGCTGGAAAGAGAAATGGGAAGAAGTGCATTTTTAAAAGGAAGAGTAAATTAAGTATCTGGTGATGGAGTTGGAGTTTGGGAGTGTGATTCCTCAGTATGTCTCCTGGAAGAAGGTCCGTCCTGGGTGGTCTTGGGCAAGCTGCACAGTACTAGAAATACCCCCAGAAAAAAGGGAATGATAAACCACTTCTGAGTACTTTATCCCTAGAAAACCCTGGGAAGGGTCACCGTAAGTTGGAATCATGCAAGCTGGTCATGTGCAAACTGGTCATGTTAAAAGACAAGTTACTTGTTACAGCTTGAGAATACAAAACTCCTCATCTGAATGCAAACTTCCTTCTCTTTACACAGGATAACCCCCAACCTTCTCTTACTCACATACAGCATCCATTCGTCCCAATCCTTCCATTCTCTCTCTGAAGATCCCCACAACCCAGAAGATGCCCAACACATACCCAGAACATACAAACACAACACCTCCCTCCCTCCCAATCCATAACCTTCCCTAGCCAGCCCTTCCATCTCCCCACTCCCTGCACAGTTTATCAGTCAAACAGAATGAGACAAAAGCAGTACACTTAGAAGCTGACAGCACATTTTTCCTCTCGTCACAAAACTCCTTTGAAGCAATGAGATTTGCAAGTGAAGTCTTTGTTCATTTTCTGATGACCATGACTAAGCAAAAGTAAACAAATTCCCCATATGCAGAAGAAAGTGTGTCCTAATATTAACAAAACAAAAGGAACTGGTACATCCACGGAAGTCCATGTTATAAATGAGAGATGATGTCTCAGGATGCAGAAAGTAGAAACAAGCTCTTTATTTTGTATTTCTTTAAATGAGTTGTTAAAAAGCTCTGGCTCAACACATTTCGGCAAAGCCTTCTTCAGGAGCTGAGCATAACACAAAGCCACACATAGATACCAAATCATTCACAATTTTTTTAAAAAATTATTATATATATACACCTGGCTTGGGACTTTCAACTTTATATAAATACATCATTTATACTAAACACATTAGGCATGATAAAATATATTAGACAGAATATGAAACACTTACTGAGCTTCTTTATATTCTCTGCACCTTTCTTTGGTCTATATCAGCTCCAAAACTAATTGAAAGTGTTCAAAAGTGCAGGCACTAGGAGAGGAGGCATTTATACACTGTTGTGCAGGGTAGCAAGATAACCAGCCCACCAGTGTTATCATAATAAAAGGAGAAAGTCTATTTCTTTGTTTAAGCCATGAGGTACTACTAGGGTGTTCAATTTCAGGATCCAGTCAAGTACTCACTTTTGTTGCCAGAGGTTTAGACATCAATTGCTGTGTATTGCGTTATTTTGAGGGGAAAGCACATTTACACTGTTACACAAGCTGCATACTCTTTGCTTTACATTGTAGCCGTCATTTCTTCAGTGTTGTCACATGAAAAGTATTTATGAAATGTGAGGGGGTGAACTCACTTCTGTGATATACTGCATGTATTAGCCGCCTAGAGTGGTCGCAATGACCAGATAGGCGGGATATAAATGGAATAAATAAATTTAAAAAAATTATCAATCTTTGAGTACAAGACCAGCAGTACGGAAGAGGCAACATAAGAAATGGTTTCCAAGGTGTCCATAATGGGCTGTCAACTGCATATGGGTAGTAAATAGCATGTAAACTACCCACAGAGTCTCTGGGTCCACATAGGTAGAGCATTCTAGAAACAAAGATGGCAAGGGGCTGACATTCAGTTCTGCATTCTGATGTGCTCCCAGCCCCTTGATTATTTCAAAACTTTAATGCTTCGGAATTTCAGGGGAAGATGTCTGCAGAGTTCTACCTATTTGGATCAATGAAGATGCATACCCCATAGCACCAAAACAAGCAAAAAGTGAGCTCTGTGCTGCTTATAGTTTCTTATTCAGTCTGCTTCTTATTCAGCCACCCTGCAATTTCTGATGAACAAATTGAGTTAAAGAAACATTTGGAGTCTTGTTGTCAAAATAAATTTAGTTTTCCCTCAGTAACCAGGTACCTGTTTATGATTTTTAGATACACTGCTATGCATTACTGCATTGGCTGGATTTTAGTACTACTTATGGTTTCCATTTTTGTACTGTCCATTTTTCAGAGTGGCTTTTAAAAATGTTTTGTATACTTATTGATCTTTGCCATAATATTGCCTGTTAATGATGTAAGTTGCCTCCTTATTCGTTGTTCACAGTTTTAAATATTGTCTTTTAATGATGTTAACCACCGTTGTGTACTCATTGTTTTCCACTTTAAATATTGTCCTTCATTGTTGTAAGTCGCCTTGGGTTCTTTTTAAGGATAAAGGTGGGGTAAAAATATTTGGAATAACAAAATAATGAATAAATAGTGTAATGTACGCAGTGCTGGATGGTGGCGTGACCCATTAATACGCTTCCCCTGAGCCTCCTCAAACATTTCACCTGCTTTCCAACCCATCCCCCAAATGTAGCTGCGGAGGCTGTGAGCCAGGCCTGGGTAGGGCAGCACCACTACCAAGTCACATTTTTAACTCCCTAACCTTCAATTGCTCTGGTTTAAACTACCATATTTTCAATGTATAAGACTATTGTCTAAAAATTTTAGACTAAAAATCGAGGGTCATCCTATACACGGAAGTAAGCTGAGGAGAGTACAAAAACAAGTGGAAGGGAAAACAGGGATCAAATTGTTCCTGGAGGGCTCTGATCCTTGCTTCCCCCTCCCCTTGCTAATCCTTAGCAAAGGGCAAGCAGGGTTCAAAGCGCTGCAGGATCGCTTTGATCCCTGCTTTCCCCTCTGCTTGCCAAGTCCCATGGGGCTTAACAAAAGGAGGGGAGAAAGAATCAAAGCAATCCCATGGCTGTATAAGGGGGAAAGGGATCAAAACGATCATGCAGTTGCGGGATTGCTTTGATCCCTTCCCCACCTCCACATACACACACTTGCTAAGCCCCACTTAGATTTCTTAATTTTGGGTAAGAAAAATGGGGGGTGTCTTATACATGGGGGTGTCTTATACATGGTATGTCCTACTCAAAGCTGTTATTTAACCCTGGCTGTGTGTGAAATTTAGTGCAAGGGAAAAGGGCCCGCTCTTCCTTTTCCCAGCTTTTCTATATCAACCTGACTGGGGTGAGTAGTGGGTAGAGAGGTTTCTTCACAGCTGCTTTTAAGATTTTGAAAAAATGTGAGAGCAAACACAGCTCTCCTGCTATTTCATCTAGTCTTTACTGCCCCTTATCTGTTTGTTTCTTTGCTAATTTAAAGAGAAAACAGCTGAAATCACAAAGGAGCAGCAAGCTATAATTACATGGATGGCACCAAGAAAAATAAGCAGAAAGGTCGCTATAATTTGCAGAGTGAGCACATGCTCGAAATAGACCCTTAGGGCTGCATTGCTAAATGTTCTGCCCACATCAAAGAGAAGCACCACCCTTTACAACTCAGCTTCACTGGCTCCATGTTATGAGCCATAAAGTCATGAGAACCACCCCCAACTCAAGACTAGCATGAAGTACACACCCTTCCTTCACATAGGATGGCATTTATTCAAGCAGAACAATATTACCAGTTGGCAGTGAAGAACTGATATTCATGTCAGCAGGGGGAGAAACTTTCAAAGGAATTCAGTGTATGAACAAAATGTGAAGAAGAGGCGACTCAGAGTTCCTCCTCAAATTGTTTGGGCAGGTTACTGGATATGCTTGGGAATGTGTTACTGCTGTGCCGTTGGTGCCTGAGAAATACCAGCCAAACTCCTATTTCTACGTATAAAGTTGACAGCTTAAAACAGCACCACGCTGCATTTCATGTACTGAACACATTGCTTTTGAAAAGTACCTGCAGGTGATAGAACAGTAGACAAGCAGTTTTGATCCAGCCAACTTGAAAATGTCAGAGTGAGGCAGGCAGCCACTACTGATTTTTAGTGCTATCAAAGGGAAGTGTTAATCCTAAATTTCATTTTTTTCTGGGAGGAAAAGGGCAGACCCTGAGTCACACCTTAGGCTTCAAGATACCCTGAGGCAGCATTATCTTCATAAAGAATTTTGCTGACACTGCTGCTGCTATTCAAATCAGAAACAGGTTTTGATGTAGGCAAGGAGATTTCTACCCATGGAATGGCTCTCGGAGGACACCCACAGCTAGATCTGAACCTGGTGCAATGGGTGCTAGTGGCTGCCAGTACAGGGAAGGAATATTCCATTCCAAGCTCCTGCCTTAGTTACTTGAACACAGAAAATGTGTTGGGTTACTTGCATGGCAGATCTGTAGCAAAAAAGGATATAGAAGGCCTGCACAGCAGCAGACAAGCAAAAAGGGATCCACCCCAGGCAAGGGGCCCTGATAAAAGATTGCTGAGGGCTGAACATTACTTAAATCCAAGTGAAATCAAAGGAACCCAATATTCTACTGATTTCACATCAGCTACACTGTTGCCTAACTTTGTGACAAGATTCCTAGGGAGCTGCAAAGTTGAAGGAACTATTTATCAACACTCAACAAGGAGCCCCATGGCACTGTCAAGACAGCTCCCACTGTTTTTAAGGCACTTATGGAACTCTGCTGTTTTTGTTCCAACAGATGATACCTCTTTGGAAATCAGAAGTGAAGATTTCTGAAAATGTGGACCCTGATGGGACGTCCCGTAAGCCACTGTTCGAGCCTGCAAGGCTTTACCCCAGCTAAAGCCAAGCACTCCACTGGTTTCTGAGTCAAAATTAAAACTCTTGAACTGGATCTAAAGTATTGCTCTTGTTTTCTTATAACTGTAAAACGCTCCAGGAAGCAAAACATTTCTAATTCATACTTATGGGTGCGAAGGCTGCAATTTTATATCCACCCATCTATGATTAAGCCCCAATGAACTCGGTAGGATGTATTTTTGAGTAGACATATGGAGGACTTCACTTCAAAATTCCAATTAAAATATTGCTGGCCACTCATCTGCCATTCTTTTAAAAACTGATATAGACCAGCTGGTATAAAAATATTTTGA